CTGTTTATATAAAAAAAAATAGCAACTGCACAGACTACCTGCTCTGCCTTTCAGGTCAAAGGTCATAGTAAAATACTTGCATCATTTACAGAGGACCACACATAATTTAGTGTCTCTTAAATGATAAAGCAGGGAAGACAATTAAACTACTTACTGTGTAGTACTCCTCAGAGGGGACGATTTTGTTGTTCTTTAAAACACTGAAAACACAAAAGACTCATGAGGAAATCAACTAGGGCTTGGTGGTATGACGCTATTGCTAACACATTTCTGTTAGATAGCAGAAATGTGTTAACCGGTAGTGTTTATACCATTGTACCTATAACTGTGCAGCCATTATAGGTGGGACTGCTTTAATTTACTTGCTGTATAAAGTGAGTAAACAATGAGTAAATGCGGAAATCCAAACTGGGACATGTCCTAAACTTGTTATTAAGGCGTGTTGTAATTAATATGAATCGCTTGTCGAGTAGCATTATAATTTGGCACAGTAAAGAGATAGTTCAACCAAAAATTAAAACTCTGTCATCATTTACTCAACCTCAAGTCGTTCCAAACCTGTATGAATTTCTTTCTCCTGCTGAACACAAAAGAAGATAATTTGAAGAATGTTGGTAACCAAACAGTTGCTGGTAGCCACTGACTTCCATAGAATAGGGGGGGAATTCAATGAGTAAATGATGACAATTTTCATTTCAGAGTGAACTATCCATTTAATATAGAATTTAAATTGATGTGCATCACAGTTGTGCATAGAAGTGCTATTTTACAAAAGCTTTGAATGAGGCTTCAATCAGAATTTTGAGTCAGAAATATCAGTTTTATAATATTAGTCTTACTGTTTTGATTTCTTTTTTAATTGCAGTGTTACATAATGTCTGTATGTGATGAAACAGCTATCATTTATAAATACTCTCATCTTTTGCTTTGCATCGATCAACTTTACTTTAACACAACTCCCTAATGTACTGAAAGCCACACAATCAGGTTTTACATGACACAAGAACCACTGAAAAACAAGAACTTACCTATTAAGGTCATACTTGAGGTTTAGCTCGAGAGCTTTGCTAAAGTATTTGTGTTGACTGTTTAGAGAATCAGCTTTTGCAGCACAGGTTCCATGTTTTATCCATTCATATTGCCTAGGCACAATTAAAAGCGCACAATAAAAAGTCCATTATTTAGTTCAATCAATCGATCGAAAAATAAATGTGCAAGTTTTTGACATACCAAAATTTTGGGGAAGAAGGTGCTAGCAGATCCGGCCAGTATTTTTCCATTTCTGGTATTAAGTCCTGCAAGACATGCACATACAACATGTCAAGCACATGTCCATCAAATTAAAATATATGACATCCAACAGGGCGAGCAAGGCAAGCAAACTACCTCAATCAAGCTGGCATTAAAATGCCAGGATGTATTGCACCTCATGCCAGTGTTGGGCCTGCAACAACAACACACATTTTCTTCAAATACTTCTACTGACATTAATTACAATCATCCTTACAATCACTGGCATTGCCATCCTTATCGGATGATTTTTAAGATCACATGACAACCCCTAATATCATGCATTTAATAAACTCAGATGATGATCACAATTAGTGCATATTAAATAATAAGCCCCTACTCATTACATGCACCTCAAAATAGGAAAGTGTTGTACTTTAACAAGCATTAAGAAGAAAATTTGTCTCCATAAACATACCACAATCCGTGCAGAGTCCAATAGCTTAAATTTGTTGTGCATTGTTCCATCTATAAATGAAAAACAACATCATTTATCCCCCAATACCCAGTGGAGGAGCAATATACGGTGCACCTGCAATAACGGCAATAAAATAATGGAAAGTAAAGGCAATACAATACACTGCAAAATGTCTGTGGCCAATGTCGAGTCAGGATGAGTTTTGTCCATTCTCCCCTAAAAGAAGCAGTCAGTTCACTATGAATGATTTCAGGGTGACAATTACAATCTGGCAAACATTTAGTACAAAACACGGATCCCAAAAACGTGGTCACACTATCAAATGTGTATTAAAGGGGTCATATGATGCTTTTTTAAAGATCATTATTTTGTGTATTTGGTGTAACAGAATATGTTGACATGCTTTAATGTTCAAAAAACACATTATTTTTCAAATACTGTACATTATTGTAGGTCCTAGATATGTGGGGGCGTGTTAGAATGAGCCGTTTTAGGGGGGCGTGGCAGAGTCTTAACTTTGATAAAGAATATCTCTTTGGTTTTGAGACTTTAGTCTTTGCAACTTCAGGGATCTTATCTATGCACAATCAGCTTGTAACACTCCAAAGAGAAAGGAAAACTTGAAATCGCATCATATGACCCCTTAAAAACCATTATGGCCATGCGAATGTTAACTAAATTATTTTTGCTGTAATGCGCAAAATTCTCATTTTGTAATTTCTATTATTCTGAATAGCACTTCTCATTAGATTTAGATTTTCATTATTGTACTTTTTATTGGTTTACAATAATGAATACTGTGACAATGTTTATTAGTGGTAGTATTATTTAAATGTCATAAATCAAATAAAATCATTAAAGGCAGTACAAGAAATACAACCATAATGTTTAAAATAAATTATTATTATTATTACAGTCATAATGTTGTGCCTCAAGCAAATATTTCACCCGCAAACATGTTTTATAACATTTCCTTAAAACGTAAAAAAATAATTTCATGACATATTTCAGCATAGTCAGTTTCCTGACTCTTATGAGCCGGTTCTTTCTAGTTGATCAAAACTACCTGTAATTGTGCCAAGAACTGTTAGTGTGTTTTGTTAACATTGCTTTAAAAATTCATTAAAAAGTCTGTTAACACTCCTGTTTTACACTTGTATTGTTTCCCCCCCTTCAAACGTCTTGTATATACTATTTACTCTGTAACCTAAAGTGTATCTTGTTCAATAAACACGGGAAAATACAAACATACGAGGCTATGTACAATATTGATTGTCTGGCTACAAATGCGCCCCAACTTAAAACTCATCAATATGTATAAACAGATGTATTTGAATGACATACCGAGGATGGGCAAAGGCTGTTGGACAGAAATATCCAACACAAAGAATGGCAGCAACTGCAATGAATCTCATTCTTCCAGATGGTGCAAGTCCGTTCATCTTACCGAGAACAAAAGGAGAATTTATCAACGTTCACAATCGTACATTGTTAAAAAAAAAAAAAAAAACATCTATAAGACAGTCACAGCACAGAAAATAACACAAAGCTGCGTCCAAAACTAACATAATCAAATGTGAGAAAAAAACAACAACAACTTGAACAAACAAACTTACGTTAAGACGTCAGTTACCTGTTTTAGTCTGATATACCCGTTCGATTTACATACAGTTTTTACGTCCTCTTAGTAACAGAGAGGGTTTGTTTTAAACGTTTTATTCAGTCTGGGTGTAAGTCTTCAGGTAGGACTGCCCAGTCACTATCTTTCCGAAACACTGTGCGGTCGAGTCACTTCAGAGCCACTTCCTTTCCTGACAGAGACACACTGCGGCCTCTGAGTACTGATCGTGTTTACAGCGTGAGCTCACAGCTGCGCATGCGCGGTCAAGTCATGTGACAAACGGTAATTTATGACATGTGAAAGTGGATTATGCAGATTAAACTGAAATGTTACAACCACGAACTTTTCTAATGTCATTGGTACAGTTCCTTCTGGTAAATGTTGTATGCACGGGATTCTTCTGCATTGCCACTTTTTTGATTTACTTAAAACTTAAATTTAAGAACTTAATAAAATGTGTCATTAGACTTTAGTATTATTTGTTGCTGTACAACAACGTATTTACGTGAATTATGAATGTATCTTATTTAGCATTTTTTTTTCTTGTGACTATTTTTTCTTTCACCCCTCATAAACTGGAAATCTTCAGATTTATCTTTTTTTTCTTGTTTGTTTAGTATTTTGTGGTAATGTTAGATTTCTGTAAATACATTAATAAACTATCCTCTCTTACTGGCTGTGCCTCCATTCATACCTGCAAGAACGAGTTTACGCATCTTGGAAATCTACACAAATTAATTTTAATGTTGTGGGTTTAAAATACAATACAATAAAATAAAAATACAGAATAAAGCGCTGTTGTTATTTGTGTGCCGTTTGGTGCCGCTACTCGCGCAAAAATTGATGTTTGTTCTTAGAAGATCACTTGCATTGTATCTAGATCATACATTTTCTCTCTCAAAACATTCTAAAATAAAAACAAAACTGTTGTTTAGCAATAACATAAATTAATAAATTAATTATTATTATTCTTTTAATTATGGCCAGAGTGCATTTCGTTAATTTCCCACTAACTCAAACCAATTAATATGTATTTACGTTAACACAATATTTCAATATTACAATTTCCGTTCGACTCACCTTAAACTAAACTCTTTTTTTTTCTTTTTCTTTTTTTCCACCCGCTTTATAACTCATTCAGTATCCAGTGTCAATTTAAAGCGTCTGTCTGGTATCTTAATATCTGTGCGAAATGATGTGGGAAGAAAGTGTAAATGCTATATATAGTTAATGCCTATCCATAAATGGGATGCGGGAGAGGCAACATTCCGCATGGGTAATATTTTGCTTTTCATCAGCTGGTTTCTCACAGGCGGGTAGAGGCACATCTACCTCCGCGTCGCGCTCTTGTATTCTCCTGGGGTGAGTATGTCTGGCCCTTTATTTCCACACTTTTAATCTGAAATTATAATGCAGAGTTGTCCTTGTGGAAATACAAAATCGTTCAGGCTGAAGGAACCTTTTGAACTTTACCTTGCTTGAATGTTGATCTATCTCAAATGATGTTTGCTTGAGTGGGAGCTGCACTTGACTGAAGGCATTCATAAAAAGTTGCCATTTTAACCAGTTTCAGGGCATTGCGAATATGAGTGAACGAATAACTGGACACACTTTGACATTGTTTTGTTTGTGGGAAATTTGTCTCTTAAAAGTGACCTGTTGGATGAAATAACCTTTGAAATATTTATCTTCCTCCCGTAATTCGTGCTGCATTATGCAAAGTGATCAATTAATTTATTTTTACATGTCGTCTGTCAAACATGTTATTGAACACTGTGCATAAATATTTCGATGTTAGTGGATGCGATGTATGTGGGCTTCATATGTGAATGAGATAATGTGATGCTGCATTTGAGTGCATGATTGTTTGTGTAAATATTTTTCAAAAAGAAAAGTGAGGAATATGTTCGTGTCCCTTTTCTTCACTTTGTATTGTAGCGTAATTCATTTATCCATATTAGAAGATAAACATTCATGAGAAGTTGGTTATCTTTCAATATTTCAGTACATTTACACAATAATAGCTTGTCCTTGTACTTACACTACACTCTAAAAAATGCTGGGTTAAATACAACCCAGTGCTGGGTAAAATAGGGACAAACCCAGCGATTGGGTTGTTTTGACCCAGCGGTTGGGTTA